AAATTAAGCTACAAAAAATTAAAAAAAAAAAAAAAAAAAAAAAAAGAGAGAGAGAGAGGAGGGAATGGTAGCGGGAGAAAGAGGGCTATCACATGAAGTTCTTCAGCTCCCTTGCTTCTGAGCTTTTCTTCCTCATAAATTCAGTTTCCTGAAGTTACTCAGACTGCCTCAGAGAGTCCTTTGTGACAGGTTCTAGATGAGACTGGGTAAAGGAAATGTATATGTAACTTCTCTTAAAGCAAGAGCCGGGAAGACGAAGGAGGGAATTATATTTCCTGTTGTCCTCACCTTTCTTCTATGGAACTGAGAAACCAGAGAACAGCTGGAGCTCCCTGCTCGGAATGAAGCCAGTGATGTTTGGGTGGAGTTGACTGATCCATGGACAGAGTTCACTAATCTTTATCAGTGGTGACATTTGCTTTCCAGAAGCAAACAAAACCAAAGGCTATAAACTGAATGCCTGACAAAAGTGATCTTTGACAGCAGTCCTGACCTTAGCTGTTCTTTCTGCAGCACTGCGGTTGTGTTCTACGTGCAGAACGGGCATCCTTCCAAGGTGATCGAGGCATCAGATGTCTCGCGAGCTCTGCATGTGCAGCTTTTGAAAAAGAAGGCTGACTTTCTACTCTTCAAAGTCCTGCGGGTTGACACGGCTGGTATGTTTTGCATCGTGCTTGGTCGTCTCTGAACTTTGTGGACATTTGGCTAACAGAGCAATGTGCAAACAGTGCATGAAGGCCTTCTGTCTGCCATCTGGTGTCTGGGCTTCAGTGTAGCTTTCCGAAAGATAACATTGAAGACCATACTTAGAATGTTTGTTCATTTGTAGTAGACTGGTGCCAGTTACTTGTGTTCTTTTAAAAGACATCATCTGTAACAGCAGGCAAAAGCACATCAATCTGGTCTGCATCAGGAAGGCCTGGGGAACAAGGATAAAGATCCACACTCATACTGTCTTTTGTTGTAGGATGGGCAAAACTTAATACAGCCATGATATAGAATGTTTTATGCCCCTAGTTCCTTCAAGGCTTTCAGTGTTCAGTAGTGGGCTTGTACCATAATTTGTTTTTGTCTGTCTGTGTCAGGCAAAATGCTCAGGTGATCGCTGTGTTTTAAGCTAGGCTTGTAATATTTGCAATGTAGACAGGCCGCTGGGGTTTCTTGCAATGAACTTTTCCTCAAAAAGATGCTTGGACTTCTAAGCCTGTTTTAGACTTGACTAGTAATGTGAACCATTTATGATACTCAGATATTACAGATACCACTTCTCCATCATTTAAAATCAGGCCATAATGATCCAAATGCAAACAAAGTGAGCAAGCTCTGCAATAAAATAGTCACTGATTCTGTAGTAAATTCTGTCTCTATTTACCTGTTGAAAAGGACTGTTGTTCTATTGTAAGTGTATTTGGATTACCGAAATGTGTAGGTGTCACTTGAAAATATGCATTAACATTTTCTTTGACATAGCAAATCTGCTACTCTAAGTTGTAAGGAGAATAACTTTTTATTTTAGTCTTATATGACACATTTATCTAGCAATAGCTACTACTCTAAGCATATGAGGTGTGTAAATGCTCTGGCCTCAGATGCTGTAATTCAGTTTTGAAATAATGAAACACTCCATTTTATTGGTGTGATTATTGTCTGCTAGAACCTGTGATGTTCCTCAGTTCTCAGGTACATTAGAAGTTCTTACAAATAGGTCATAAAGAAAGGAGCAGGTCTGAATTCCACAACTTCAGCTCATCTTTATTTTTGGTTAGAATAAACTGTTCTTGACTTGCATATGATTTCAGTATTGTATGCATAAGATAATACATCTTTCTCTTCACAGCCAGCAGTCTGCTGAACTGTAAATGTATTGAACATCTAACACCAAAGGAAAAGGACATTTGAAAAATACCAGAATGTTACAGACTAGATGCTTTACCACCAGTGTAGTCTCACAATAAGAGGATACATGGCAAGTTGTCCATTTACACAACTGACCCCGTGTTCGGTTTTGTTCTTAGCTTGTCTTTTAAAATGCTCTGGACATGGACACTGTGACCCCATAACAAAGCGCTGCATTTGCAACCAGCTGTGGATGGAAAGCTTGATTCATCGTTACCTAAATGATGGAGAGAGTAATTGTGGTGAGTTTGGGGGTTGTGGGATCTATTTCAAGAACAACTCGTCATCTTGTGAGACTGTTCATTGTTTGGGGTCAGAATGGGAGTACTTAGGAGGTAAATGCTGAGGGAAGACTACAACAGTCTCTTTGTTTTCCAGCCCAGCAGTATCCTTCTGTAGAAAGATGCTTGAATAACATCTTGAAATGATAATGTCTTGACAGTAGTAGCCTATACTGAAAGTATTTTAAAAGTTTAAATTCTAGTAAGTCTCACTGAGGGGAAAAAAAGCATGAAGACATTGTCATAGGAGAGAGATCTTGCAACAATTTGGCACCAGTTGGAAGGGTTGTTGAATAGTGTGAGTGTTGCAGAGCTTTTGAGTAGTATTCATCTGGTTGTGGCAAAGTGAAAAAAGAGGCAACAATATAGATTATCTGAGTGGGTGATGGATGCTTCTATGCCAGAAGTATGATCTTGACCTAAGGAAGCAAAACACCAGTGTTCTGGACTAAGCAATATAGTCACCTCTAAAACCTCAGCTTTTTAGCATGATTCATTTCATGGTTTCTTTGAGTTTGCCTGTTACACCTGGGAAATCCAATTTATTTTCAGCAGCTTAATCATGTCTCTGTCCTGTGGCACACCTAACATATCAGCTAAGCTTCTCTATGTCAAATACTTAATAGTTTTAATGTGACTAAATTGGTCTTCTGCTTAAGTTGAAATAAAGCTCAACTCTTAGTGCTGTGCAGGCTTGGAGACATTTTCTGAGTAATGCACTAGTCTTCAAGTAAATCTATAGAAATTTATAAGGAGTTTGCTAGAATCCGCTAAGTAACCATGGACCCATGTGTCTGTTAGTGAGCAAAGACTAATTGACCAGCTGAAATGGGACAGCAGGTTTTAAACCTGAGGCTGAGACCTCCTGCAGCCCTGCCCTAATGCCGTGTTGTTCCATAGTGTAATAATAACGCTGAAATAGGGATCATACACATGTTGGAGTTCACGTTATTGCACATCTCTCTATCCTGCTCATGTTTTCCTGGATTTGCAGATGTAAGCTTGCAGATAATCAACTGTTCTTTTGAAGCACTACTAAAATGCCAGACCCAGAGTACACCTGTATTTATTTCAGTTAGAGATGGACAACTGAGGTGGTAACTATGCCCTCTTGACTTTCAGTTCCATGTAGACTTGAAGTATTTTGGGATGGTAAAAGGTACTGGAGTGGAAGAGAATTTACAAATGTGCATATTCATTCTGGAAGCTGAAGAAATTTTAGATATTATTCTGAGAACATGAAGGTGCTAAGTTTTCCTGTGTTCCTGATGCCACTCCCCTTTCCTTGGGATATATTATTTTAATAGAGTTGTATTAGAAATTATCCTATTCGTATTACTTTATTACAAATATTACATACTACAAAGCACTGTTGTGTTTCTTTTTTCAGAGTGGAGTATACTCTGTGTGACTGTATCTGTTTTTATTTTGGTTGGCGTCATGGTAGCGCTTGCCTGGTTCTGCATCCGCTTCTACAAGAGGTAGGTGATTTGTGGGGGTTTTTTTGATGGGATATATGCAAAAAGTGCACACAACTGCCACGTTTTAATCCAGTTCTTGGCACTAAACCACTGAACTCTTTTGAGGCATGTGAGGAGCTTCCTGTAGCTATTTCTGCGTAGACACACTTTGGTTGAAAAAAGGAGTATCTGTTTGTGGCTCTGTGCTCTTCTGCATTTTGAAAAACAAAAAGCCGTTATTGGAGTATTCTTCATATTAAGCAAAGATTTATGTTAAAATGCGGACAGTATACTGCAGTTCTTCGTGGTCTCCCACTGAGTCCTTCAGGTACTCCAAGCTAAGAAAAAAAGAAGCCCAGCCTGAAAGTCACTGATGTAGGAGTGTTCCAGGCCGTGGGAAGGAAGCTGCTCTCAACCTGGTGTCTCCCTTGGACAAGGAAGGGTGGACATGTGGCCTGGCAGGCAAGGAGTACTGCAGCAATCTCAGTCAGGCAGATTTCTTGCTTCCTCTTCCCTTGAACAGTTTTGCCTACTACTGTGTGTTTCCCTATCTGCCCTTCCCCGCTTCTGTTTTTTCCTAGTAAGCTGATAAGAAATTGTCTTTCAAGTGACAAGTCCCTGAAAGCTCTGTCCCTAGAGCAAGTGGTTTTGCTGCTGCTCAAAAAGCCCAGCAAATAGATAGCTTGTTGAGGTGTTAGTGAAATGAAACGCTGTCAGAATCTTTCTGGAGTTTCATCTTTTTCTGGGGTATCATTGCAGTATGTGAAGAATGCTGTTGGAAATGTGCGGGAGTTGATACTGCTTTCCTTTGTGTGGTTGAAGGAACAATGCTGTTAGTAGAAAGGTTTAAATAGAATTGTGTCCCACTCCACCCCTACAATGCAGGGTGGAGCCTCACAGGCCTGTGGATTTGATCAGAAAGGGACTTTTTTTTGTGGAGTGCAGCTGCTTCTGTCCTTTGTCCTCATGTGGCTTGTGCCAGAGAGTGAGGGCTGGTTGACACAGATACCTGTGAAAAAGAGGAGGAAGGTGCTACGCAGGACAGAGTGGCAAGAGATGCCCTTTGCCTTGTGGAAACTACAGGAAAAACACTGTAGTCCAAGATTTGGCTGGAGCTTTGCAGGTTTTAAATGCTATGTTGAGTTGCCAAATGAAAATTTTTTAGAGGACTGTGGAGGGGAGGCCAAGTGACTGGCTGGCTGGCTGCTGTAATGCAGGCTGAGCAGTAGCTGGCTTCTCCACTGTGAACTGTGCAGCCTCGGTAGGAGTGCTTTTCTGGAAGCTGCCAGAGTCAATCCTTGCCTTGACAAAGGGCATGTCCCACCCACCGACCCCCCTCCAAAGTTATGAGAAAGAGGGACAGAAAAATGTCTGAAGTGTGGTAGCGTCTTCTAGGAGGTGCCCCCTTGGTTTCGTGAGTGAATACCCTGATTTCTGCCCTGAAATCCTTTGTTCGTTCCTTCTTCATCCAACACACGAACAGTTCTGTGTCTGTTCTTCTAGCTCCAGGACTTCTCCTTCTGTATGAATGAGCAGGTGAGTAACTCCTGCAAACTGCTGAAACTTAACATAGAGATGATGGTGTTTTCAGTGTTGTGGAAGCAGATGCTGGGGAAGGATTTAAATGAAGGAAGAACAGGTGGGCATTTGCCTGCAGACTGGTAGGGCTTTGTCCCTGCAGATGAGGGAGCCGGTCACCCTTTTTGTCTGGTCTTGTCTGTAAGCACAACCAGACAAGCATCACGTAAACTCTCTCAGTTAAAAAAAATGTGGGGACTAACCAATTCTTCCAGAATTTTTATTTGGAGACAAATAAATATATGTACCTTGTGTCTAGTTACAATGTTGAAACTGAACAAACTGAACCCCTGTGGCCTTGGAAAGCAAGTCAATCTTTCTTCCTTTCTTCGTCTCTGTATATCAGAGAGAGAAAATAAACTGTACCCTCTGGTCCAGATTGTATAGTTGCTTTATACAGGTATAAACTGGAATAACTCTTTTTAAGTCGAGGTGAGAAAGTACAAGCAGGTTCTGTGTATTGGGGTATGTAGCTGTGCGTATGACAAGGGAGAGGGAGCAGCTTTAGGTGTGTACATGAGAACTAAATGTCTGTGTGGTAACTTTTTTTTTTAGCACACAGAGGACGAAGATAAGAAAGAAAACAAAATATACCATGCTAGATAGCATAGATGAGCAGGAGAGAATGGAGCTGCAACCCAAATGTGGTAAGCACTGTTTCAGCTGGGAACTCATCCACCAAACTTACAGTCAATGTATACGAATTGACACCTGCAGTCAGGAGGAGCCCAGAAGCTGGCCTACAAGCTTGGGAATGACAGAGGCGAGCATAGACAGTGACATGGTTGGGGGAGAATCACTTCATTTCTTTCATGAGACCTTGGGCTCAGCCATTGCTCTGAGCTGCTTCATTAATCTTAATTTAGAACGTCTGATTGTCCCACAGACTTTCTTCATGTAACCCCTCCTACCCTGCACACACTTTAATTTGGAGCAGTTTTTATTGTTGGGCAGCAGTTCCCTCCTGGCCCTTAAGTGTCCTGTTAAACAACAGTAGACTTCAGCTGCTACCCTCTGTTCACATATGTTATGATTTACCTAAGTTTCAGTTTTTAGCTGGGGAAATACTGGAATCCAGGGAAATAAAATCATCCTGAGAAACTGCGGTCCTAGAAAGACAGACATAACGTTTCTGTAGGAACCATGACCTTTCATTGCCACTCATGTTAATCAGATAGTTGAGTGGACAGACTAATTTTCATATTCAAGCTATTAAAAGTATATTAGCCGTGTACTAAGATCATCTAATAGTTTCTAATTTAAATGCATGTATTCACATTTCAGAACCATAAACTGGTGGGCCTGCAGTGAAGCCTGCCTGACAGTGTATGGTACCTCCTAAGCCAGTTTTTATGTTGGTGGTGGCAGTGATGCGTGCAGTTATGCTGGATTGCAGAGAATGTTTTCACTTACCTTTCATAACACAGTAGAGGAGAGGATGGTTAGTTGTTACTAAAAAATACAACCATTCTAATGAGCTTGGTTTTCTTTTTTGTTGTCAGGTATAGAACATAGAAGTACCAAACACGACTCCTGTCTGATGGTCTCTGAGTCAGAGTTTGACAGTGATCAGGTCACTATCTTCAGCAGAGAAAAGATGGAAAGAGAGAATCCTAAAACCCTCATGAATGGATCCGTCAGAAATGGAGTTTACTTCAACTACAGCTCCAAAGACAGATAACTGAATGAGGGTAAAAGCACAGAACACGCTGGTCTAACACATCTGAAACATGTTGGCCCACCTCTGTTTTTCCAGAACCGAAAGCTTCCTAAAATATCAACCAATTGCAGATGAAAGGATATATTTGTAGCACAGTTAGGGGAGGGAAGGAGGAAGGATTAGATGTTCAGCTAACTCCTCTTGTCACCATTACAGGAACAAGGAAAAGCACATCTGATTTCTTGCATTTTCCGTGCTGAATGTTTGTCTGAACTTCAGAACACCTTATTTCCTGTATCATTGCTACAAAACTAGCCAGGGCTGTTATGCTGCTACCAATGGTAACTGAGACGCATACAGATTCGTGTCGTGTGCTCCTATCTCTCTCTCTTGGAGAAGCAGTGTGATTATGATGCTAACCTAAAATAGCAAAAGCCAATATAGATAAATTCACTTACAACTATAGAAAGCAATATGTGACCACTGGCTCCATCTTCATTTTCAGTTTAGGTTGGGAACACGGAGAGCATTTTTAGTGCATTGTATTTATCTCTGACTGTGCTTTGTGACTTCCTTTTCTAGGGTAGTGTTCATCAGATGAAATGTCTTTCTTTTCAAAGGAAGTTTACAGTTTAGCAGCTGCACTTAATCAGCTGTAAAGTAATGTGATACATCTGTGTCCTGTAGGATGCAATATTTCCTCTATTTACACAGAAAGTATGGTGCCTGCAGGGAAGTCCAGCCTTCCGTTGCTTCTGTAATGATGAAGGTGCTGAGGGTCTCTAGGGTCTGCCATGTCCAGCCAGGAAACAGTAGCAGAAAGGCAGGAAGGACTCGGTGTGATGCACCTCCAGAAGCATTTTGAGCATCCCAAACAACCTTTTGCTTAGAGAGCACTTCTAAGGAGCTGTGGACCTTTTAAGACTGAATCCTCAGATTGGATGAGTTTTCATCTGTCAGCCTCAATGCTCAATTAAAGAACGTGCAGGGCATTTGTGTGGTGAAGTGCTTGTGGCAAAGTACCCTATGTGAGGGAGGAGGTTCAACATCTACATACATTGTCATGGGAATTGGTACAGAGGTAGGTTTTAGCTTGAGCATTGGATTGTTTTACTTTTTCCATTTTGGCTATTCAGTGACTAGATGTGTTGGCCTAAAGAGATCCCTTTAGGTGTTTGGGAAGGGTAGGTATGTTGGAGTTCTGATGTTCTCAGTCTGGATAACTGCTTTACAGCATGCTTGTTAGGCTTTAAAGCCATGCCCCGAGTATCGTTCTTCAAATCCCAAACTGAAGACCTGGCTTTTACACATAGGCCTCGCTTGGAGCATCTATGTCAGTGGTACTGTCTGGCCATGACATCAGCCTTTCCTGGGGGTCCTTTGCTGGAGGAATGATGTGTTGTAAAGGAGAAAACATTCCTCTGGGAGCATTTTGGACAGGGGTTTCTTTAACTTTTTTTTTTTTTTAATCTGGTAGTGGAGAATCCATTAACAGAGAAGAGTGGAGCAGTATAGAGAGCAGGGAGAGGCAGATCAGAGGATCAGGGAGGGTATGTAGCCCACCTCCATCATGAGGAATAATTTGGTGGAGAATTCTGGGGCTTTCTTCATCCTTCGTAGAAGTCCAATACAAGAGAGTAGTTGGGTTGAACGCTGCAGCTTCTGTGCCACTCTCGTTAACGGAGTTGGCCAAAAGTCAGAACAACTGTCTAGGTTGGAAGGAATCAGTAGTCAAAAGTTGCAGCAACGTGGTGTGCTCATACCTGTTTTCACACCTTGATTCACTCCTGCTTCGGCAGGGGGGTTGGACTAGATGACCCACAGAGGTCCCTTCCAACCCCTACTATTCTGTGATTCTGTGATTCTCAAATGCAGCCAGCAACAGTTCCTAAGGCTACTAATGCTGTGCTGAGGAGTATTTATTCTGTGCCCAGCTCTGCATTTCTCTGGAGAGCTGAGTGTGGCTGCAGGAGTCACAGTGGTGGGAGAGGCTGTGAGGAGCTAAAAAGGGCTAATGCGAGTGTTTTCCATGTTTTTTCCATATCTACCAGCAAGATGCAGTATAAGTAGTATGATTTACTTTCTTGAGAAGCCAAGTTTTAACTCTGTGTATGGGAGTTTTGGGCTATCTATTGAAGTAAATCTAATTTATCTCACACTCCCTGTTCTTGATTATGTCTGTAATATATATATATATAGATTTTTAATAACTTGGTCATTAAAGGCAAGGTCATCTTTTGATGCCTTTCAATTTATGCTCCAGATGTGTTGACATAATAATGCAATGTTCACTTTAAAGCATTCCTAAAGAAAGTTAAGGCCCACTCAGAATACTATTTTTTCTTTTTTCCTTTCTAAATGAAAGTGTTGGGCTTAATCTATTCAGCACAAATCCCCAGAATTTTCTAGCAGGAATTGTGCTCTTGGAAACCTGCAGTTAAAGAAACAAAACAAAAAACCCACAAAACTTGCAAAAGCAACTACAACTTTTTATCAGCCACGCTGCCATTAATGCTTCTGCTAAATACTGTATCCAGTGTGCCTTTATAGAGAAAGTTATCTTTTAGGACATGTCAGTCCAGTCAGCAGCATACTTCAGTTTTGTGAAGTCAGTAACTTGTGCATTTTGGGTTTATTTTACATTTTTAAAGCTGGTGCTGAAGCCTAGGAGGTTGTTCTTTGAAGGAATTAAAATTCAGACATCTTTTTTTTTTTAAAAAAAAACCTGAAAACTGGAAAACAACTACAAGAGTCAACAAACCTGCTTTTCTCAGTGCTGCAGAATCCATAGGGCTCTTCCCCCTCCCACACACACAGACGCTGTGGGCTCAGGTCTTTGGATCAGTGGCAAGTTCATGTGCCATGAGAACATGATTTGGCTACCTGTTTCTCACTGTAACAAATATGAACCATTAGACCTGTATCTTATTGCGTAAGGCCCTAGCAAGTGGAAGTTGCTTACTAAATTCTGTTCTCTAGATGATGCTTTGGCATCTGCATTGCTAACAGTATTTTATTATGTTTCGAGAGTTGAATACAGTTTAAAATTTTGAGCTGCTTCTAGTTCTGCTAGTTTGAATTTTCCACCCCTTTGGAAGAAGTAATTTCTCTTACGTAAGATCAGGCTTGCTCTCAATATGAAACTTTCACTGAAGTTGAAAATAATAGTTTCTGGCTCTGTGAATTTGTGGTATCACCTGTTAGTGTCACTTGGCCAAGCATGATTTAGTCAGGAATTTAGGAGAGACTATAGCAAGCCTTGCATCTTGACTCAGTATTAATTTTTATTTCTAGAACTGTTGGCTTTCTTGCAGAATGTCAGGTCATGAAAGGGTCTGAAAACTAGCTGTTAAGGTGCAAACACAATGGCAGAATTCTGGTACTAGCCTTCTGGTTTGGGTTACGATGGGTTTGAAGCAGGTTCTCGGTCCTGACGCTTACTTCCACACACCGTTTTCCTTCATATACAGAAAGAGTGCTGGCAGCTTCTTTGTGAAACAGGGATGGGGATATTCCCAACAGTCTCGTCTAAAGTGAAAGGCAGAGGAATCAGATATATATAGCTTGTCATGTATGGCTTAGAGTCCACTGGAAATAAAGAATAAATTCAGTTTGGCCCAAGTAAGATACTGCCTCTCTTTAAAGGCAGACTGTCCTGATACTTACAGTGCATAGCAGCCTTAGTGTAAGCACTGGATCTTCATTTGCATCTTGGTATTATATTTATACATGCTGATGCATGTACAGGCGGAGATTGTCCAGCTGCCTTTGTTTGCATTTTAAGTAAGGAGTATATTTTGGAAAAAAACATCATTACCGTTACTGCCTGAGACATTAAATGGGTTCAGTACTCAGGTGCAGTACTGAACACATTGTACACGCAGCACAAAACTGCCATGCAGCGAAGAAGTCATTGGCTTGTGTTTTCAACTTGCTTCATCAAAATACTACTGCAGTATGAAACAAAATTTACCTTGGCAAATCTGCCGAGATGTACATCCAAATTCTCCGTCCTGTGGTTCTACCTTTCATGATAACTGAGTAGTTTGCTGAGAAATTCAAGCAAAATATGAACGGTCTAATTGCAGAGGATTTTTTATTTGGGGAGGAAAAAAGTGGTCATTCTTGTTTCATGTTTAAGAATACATTTTCAACTGCGTCCTGCTAGGTAAGCAGTCTTTTAGCGGTCTCTCTCTGTCGGATGCATCAGATACAGGTACTACTTAAGCACCTGTTTTGTGCTGTCAGATGCATTTGCTTGTATGATGCTAATTTCCCTTTTCTTTCTTGGTCTCTTGTGAGCAAACAAGTGCAGACAAGTGCAGAGAACTTCACAGTGTGTGAACTTAACAGAGTGAGCGCATATGTGTGTTCTCTGTGTGGAGTTTAAACTTTACTTAGTTCTGATATTCTTGAAATAATTGGGATCTTAGGCACATTTCCTATTCCTGTTTTAAGCCACAAGCGAAAACTAGTTTTGTCCCTCAATATACTGATAATGGGCTGGAGTCAGCTGGAGCTGGAGCTTTGAGATGGTGGTAAAAAAATTACAGCTACTTTAGTCTTCTGAGCCATTTACGTGAGGTTGGAGAGAGGTAAACATTCCTCTAGAAGAAGGGAAATGGGATAGAGGTGAATTAGAGTTTCTTAACATCGGCTATTGCTTGTCATTGATCCCTAACTAGGATACTAATCCCATACTTCTGCAGCAAAGGAGAACCCGTTTCACATACCTTTTAGATCCTGAGGCAAGGGAGGGAACCTTAAAGCTTAGAAATATGATTTAAGACACGATGGAGAAAAGGCAAATTGTTTTTTCTTTTGCACAGGCTACGAATCGGGTGCAGATGACCCACACAACAGTAGTTTGCCTCTATATGGAAGCACTTCTCCCTGCAGGTGGATGGGTGAGCCATTACAGAATTTATATTAGGAATCTGTTTCTAGAAAGTGTTATTTATTGCAAACAGTAATGTATTGTAACTGGAACTATTTCTGAGCTGAAATTATTATATTTATGTAACTACTAATAAAGTTTTGTCTTTCCTTCTAGGAACTTGTCAGGTATTCTTTTAAACATGGTATTCTATATTGGACTCAAAACTCAGGTCAGGCTAATAGAGATATATTGTATACCATAGCTTATGTCTGTACTCAGATGTAAAAGCAGTGAAGTATCTGATCCCTTCCCTTCCTACTGACAAGAGCAGAACAGTATCTTTTTTCAGAGAGGTAAAGTGATTCAGTACATTGGAGAGCAGGAAAAAAAAAAATAAAGAGTTTTCATGTGGTGCTTGTCCTTACTTGGTTTAATTGGCTGTGTGTAAATATTCACCAGCTGTTATGCCAAATGCGGTGGTTTCACAAGTTTTGCAGCTTATTCTATAGCTTAACCCAGTACTTGTGTGTTTCTAAGTACAGCGCTGCTTTGCAGTAATCAGAGGTGCTGGTGTGCAGTATGACCCAAAATACTGCTCATAGCAAGGGTGGGTTATACTGCCTGTTTCTGAACTGGGAAAGAAAAATCCATGCATCAGTGCGGGTGAAGTTTGTGCTAAATCGTGGCAATAAAAGGTACTATTGAGGTACTATTGTGTCATTCCGTAAGGAAAAAACATCTACCATACAACCACTTAAAGTTGCTTTTATGGTGCTACAGTCTGAGTGGTACCTCTTGACATTCCTACAAGGGAGTATCAGCTGCCAGTGAACCGATGAGATACACAGTGTCCTTCACTGAGAAATGGAATCTGCCTGTTTGCTACTCTACTGCACATTTTGGTAACAGCAGTAGCCTCCCCCCTTCCCTTTGAGGAGCCTGATGCAAGCCTCTAGGCTTGAGCAACAGAAGATAGTCAGTAGTGACTCCTTAACAACTCAAGCCAGTTGTGCTAACTAGCTTCAGCACTCACTGATGAAGTGAATAAACTGCTAAATGCTTCCACCAACTTCTCATGTCTCAGAAGGTCCTAGGCAGAGAGTTTCGACATCAAAAACACTTTAAACAAGTGCTAAAATTTAAGTTAGAGTCTCTGAAGGCCATACTTAAACCTTCTCCTTTAAGATAGGTCAAGCCTTCCGTAAGCAGTAGGGCTAGGACCAGTTATGACTCTGCTAGTTACAGTGGGACAGTTGCTTCAGTGCCAAGTCAAAAGTATGAAGCTTCTTTTTACATGCAGGATCGCCCAACTCCCAACATGTGCCTGATAAATTTAGAACAATAAAAACTACTCTGTGCAAACCATTTAAACTGCTGTTTGTGTACTGTGACTTAATCATGAAAGCCCAATGAATCATAAAAGCATAAAATATCTCTAAAAACACTCGTGTCTGGGAAAGTGATAGGCTGCAGAACGCTGAAAACATTTCCTTCATCTTGGTGACAAGAGATAACGAAGTGCAGTCTGCCAGCTATTGTTAACAAAATTAAGTACTAGATACTGGTCGGGCTTGATGTACTTCTCAGCAGCACCGACTGTCTGTCTTCACTGAAACTGGGTCAGTGCTACCAGCATCAAGAGCCTCCCTCACTTATTCTAGGCACCCAACTTAACTTGCCGGTTTAGCATACCAATGGACAAGCATTACCTAGAGTGACTGGCCAAGATAAGCATCTGCACTACTGTGGGAGATAACTTCTGCCTATTTAACCTAAAAATGTTAGTATCTAGTAGAACAGGTAAACATAGTTTCTCAATAGTTGATTACACAGACAGGACAGGCAGCTGGGGTCAGAGAACAGTTGTTCGGAGTGTAATGTGTAATAAAAAGGAAAACAGCCATGAAATTAGTCAGATTGGAAATTAGAAGACAGTTTCTGAGGCTTCAGAACTGTAGTAACTAAATGGAAATAAAGTTTCCAAAAATCTATTTTAGATCTTAATTTATTAAGTAGAAATTTATGCAATTAATCATATCCTAAAAGCAGGGAAAGGCACTCTGATCCACAAAGCCTGTTTTCTTGTGGTAAAATGTTTGATTCAGTGCAGGAGACTGGCATACAAAATGACTGATGGCATATTAATCTGTTAAAGTAATCTCATCTATTTGATTTAGATTCAAGGGACTGTAATTGGGGTAACCAAAATCTTACACCTCATGAACACATGGATGCAAAGAATTGTCTTTTTCCAGTGCTAAAGCTGGCGGAACAAGAAATTCTGTGCAAATCTGAGACTGAACTTACTGTGGCTGCTGTCAGTTTGCCAATTCAACACTGAATAAGGTAATAAGCCACAAAATCCAGTGCTTTCACAGAAGTTATTTATTCAATGAAAACATTTTTCCATCACAGTTTTAATAGCCAGAAAGTGCTAAACTATCACAGAAGTAATCAACGTTACTGAGGGGTGAGAATTCAAGTATATCTTTTGTTGAAGAATCACAGGTTTTGCTATGAAGACAACTTCAAGATTATTCGTGCTGAAGTGATGTAGACCTTACTGACACAAGGATACTACGCTGGAAACCAACCACAATCCAATCTAGACAAAGGTTTTTTTTAAAGTTTATTACGTACCTTATCTTTTAATTATGGTTTGTGCTTGTTATCAGGCATAGTAAAAGGTATTATTTGCTAGAAGAGTAAACATTAATTTTAACAGTGCTATTCTCAGAAAAGATACCAAGATTTTAAATGCACCAATACATCAGATCAGTAACTTTGCAATGAATAGAGCAGCAGGTTCAAGAATTTATCCTCCAACTGCACTGTCCCAAGTACACTCACATTCAAGACTGCACTGTCATACAGCAGTAGATGAGATAAAATAGTATAAGGTCAAAATTAAAGTTAAGTTCGTGCAATTTCAGTGGCAGATGTTCTCCCTGTGTACAATACTTGTAAGCATGTCTGCATCGCTATATTGTGGTACCCAGACACCAAGTTATGACCTTCTACCTAGTTATTCTTTCTAGTAAGAAATAAACTCATATTGGCAGCCAAGGCTGGCAAACAGCTTCCTCTTCCATCCACAACACTCCATTCCCCAAATTCAGGCACCCTCTGTGCTCAATAGTCTAAGTTTAGAAGCGGGCTATAAGAAAGTTTCTTGCAACTAGTGTAGAAATAGACCATCCTTTTTTTGTTCTTGATAACAACCACATATGCTACAACTGGCAACAGTATTAAGTACACACTGTCTTAAATGTGCATTTCTGGTGTGTTGCAAATTAGTGGAAGGGCAGTAAGTGTTCTTTAACTGCCCTAGGGTTGGCACGATGTACACACACCCTACTGACAAATAATTTGCTGCAGACCCACTTGGTCTCATGTGTTACACAAATTAACCATAAAAAAATATTTAGAAATAATAAGTAGCAGTCAATGCTACCTTATGTGCGCTTTAAAAAATAGCTGTGAAACTCAGTTCCAGCTTGCTTCCCCCCTCCAGGTCTTACGTTACCTGGTACCTCTTTGTCCAATTGGATAAAATACCTTAAAAAATAACCCATTTCATAGGGTACATTCATTAGCCTGTAGGAAGAAGAGCTCTGTTGCCTTCTTTTACTTATTTTTAATAATTAATGGGTAAAGCTCCACCAAATAAAGTTAACCAATGCAGGAAACAAAATTTATTCCCATTAGCCTCTGCAGTGCTGATCTATTTGCCAAATTAACATTGCACATTTTTTAAGTGCTTCTTTTGCCTGCCATTAAAATAATGTTTAAACACTATTGTCTATTTTATATTAAGGAAGCTTTACATCATCTTTTGAAGATGACAGTTAAAATAGTGATGTGTAGAAGTCTCACTTCTAATCACTTCTATTTGAATCTTTATTAGGTAACAAGTTAGCTAAGTTCAAAGGTTTTTAAACCTTTTTAATGGACATTCACCTGTGTAACCACAAATCCAATTGAAGGCACAAAGCCCAGAGGAACAGAAGCATCTATCTGCTTATGTTCTTTGGAAGTGGTAATGTTCCTTTAGACACTGAGCAACATTTACATCAGTGACTGTACTTCTACCCAAGGAGTGTCACATTCTTTTCACAGAAGGGAGCTGATCTAATATTGTGTCACCAGTTGTGCTTCCTTACAATTCTGCAAGCTATTCCTGCAAGTAAGCATCCCATCTTCCTCCTGCTACTCACTAAGCCAGCATGTCCTTGTCCTGCATTCTCCTGTTCCCAGGACTGCTGGGGCTCACAAACATCGAACAAGGGCCATATTTGATCCCAAGCGTGCAAGCTGCTAGGCACAAATTACAGCTCTTTGCTCAGAAGCCCAAAGCTGAACAGGTGGCAGCTCCACAGCCAGCGCTGACACGCACTGAAAAAGCCGTCCGTTGGCCTGCACGGATGGTTAGCTGTAGCTAAAAGCAATTCCTCACCTTTCATAAGCATCAGATTCTCCCACAATTAAAAAAAGACACACCTGCTCCTAAAAGAAGGTCACATAACAACATAAGAAAATGTGAGTATTTACACAAAACTCTGAAGGGACACTGCCATCCCCTAAGCCTTCCACATCCCCACTGAAACTAGAGGCAGTAGAAAATAGCGGTCTAGTTTCCCCCTGCTATAAGTTATGATCTGTCTTCATTATGCACAAGTTCCCAAGTGCCCCCAGTTACACAGGGGTAATCCACGAGTAATGTGCATTCTTCCTACCCCGTACTAAAAAGGATGGACATCGTGATCACATTGCTGAAAAACTGAACATATAAATAAAAAAACACGTAAAAACCTACGACAGCACAGAATACTGTAAATACAGACAGAACAGGATTGCTCAGTTTTAAGGAAGGTAGAAGTTGCGTTCATACGTATTTCTGGTTCAGGATGGTTATGAAAACTACAGCACTCTTTTCCAAGCTGTTGGGACTGTGCTTTTTGAAGATTTTTATAAGCCTCCAAAGCAGACATATTTTATTTCTAAGTATTCATCGATGCCATATTTTGAACCTTCTCGCCCTAAGCCAGATTGTTTTACCCCACCAAAAGGACTCTCCACTGAGGAGATGATGCCTTCATTAACACCAACCATTCCAACTTCCAGCTGTTCTGCAACTCTCCAGATCTGAGCTGGATCTTGGGAGTAGAAATATCCTGCGGTGCAGACACAGAGATACAGCAATGACAATTAAAATCAGGAAGAACAATTGCAGAAGACTGTGAAAAAGATTCTTCTTGACATTATGTCTGCCATTGCATTAAAAACTGTCACCCCATTAACACTACAGCTCATAAAACCACAGAACTACATTTATCTCCCAGAGAGGCTTACCTGCTAAACCCACATTAGCTGCATTTGCTATAGCGATAGCTTCTGCTTCAGTCTCAAATCTGTCAACATAAAGAGCAAAAATACACATGAGGCCAGCAGTTCATCTACCGTCTTGCTGACTTACTTAATGACAAGAAGCAGCCTTCTCAAATAAAAAAGTCAAGATGCAATTTTTTTCCAAAAGTGTATTTTAAACGTCTAATTTAATTTTCACTTTGAAGCAATGGATGAATTTCTACCACTTCTCTTAAACTGCAGTTAGGTAGTTAAGATTGGTTTTATCCCCCTAGGTACTGGCAGCTAAAACATTTCCTTCACATGGGTTAGGCCACCAATTTCCCCAACTACACAAGCACTCTCAGCTATGTGAGAGAGGGAGAACCGTATGCTCTTCCATCACATCCAACTGCTCTGGGGGGAGGCAGGGAAGGTTTTAAAGAAGAATGAGAGCTCTTAAGTCATCCTTCATCAGAAAAAAAAACAACTTAGGACTAGCAAATCACATGACAAACTGCAAAGTCTTGCCTCCTACTTCATACCTCCAATCGTGAAGTTGATGAGGGCTTTTCTGCTATCTACCCTTGCTTAACTGCTGATGCAATTTAAAAGAAACTAATTTTCAAAAAGTTGCAGAGATGCTAAAATTGGGTCAAGAGAGAGAAACAAATGAACCACATATCCAAAGTAAGTTTTCACATGTGTACCTCAGTCTTATTACGAGAGTTGTGTGACCGTACAAAAATATTCTTTGGCATTCAAATCTTATGGATTCAAAATAATCTGTCACTTTTTTTTTTTAATTGCTATTTTCCATCTGGAAAACGAATAATCTTACTTGATAACTGGTGCTAAAGGGCCAAATGTCTCCTCTTGAGTGCAAAGCATTTTTGTTGTAACGTTACTGAGTAATGTTGGCTCAAAGAAATTCTTCCCCAAGCTGTGTCGTTTCCCTCCAGTCACAATAGATGCTCCTTGAGAAACTGCATCATTAATGTGTCTCTCCACCTGAGGCATGCAAAACAAAAATCTCAAAGTTAGCATTTAGGAATGAACAACAGTATACTTTCCACTGAGGAAATAATACTCTCCAGTATAAAACTGAAGATTTTGAAGAGAGGTTTATACTTTGCAGAATCCCATTTGCAATATTACTTAAAATTTCTCTGGAATTTTTATTTCTCTCAATCTGACTAAATTTCAGAGAGATAAATTATGAGTGTGGTCCCAGTTTCACAGATATTAAAGATTCAGTTTTTCTTTGAAATGAAAGGATTACATCTAACATGAGGACTAGGAAGTACACCTGATATCCATGATCAAGCACTATGAAAACAGAAGTACATGACAGGTCATTTAAAGAGAAACGAACAACTTTGAAGATGGTACTGGCAAGAACATTTTCTATCCCCCTACACCTGCAGTTCATCCAAAGACAAGAAATTAATGAGGAGACTAAAGTAGCAGTCTCCGCCTAGCATACCATCCTTAGAAATTACAGCAGGGCCAGTAAGTGACTATATACAGTGCTTGCTTATTTCTATATATAGAGGTAGACCTGTTACACACACACTACACTTTTATGATGCACAAAGGGAAGGCATGAAGAAATCAAAGTCCTGTATCCTTTGTCTCCCAAATAACTCTGATTATTTTCATATTCTATTGTTTTATAAACAGAAAGAATCTGGTAGCATTCAAGTATAATGGGATTCAAACCAAGCCTGCATATAACTAAGTTGTAATATCTTAAAAAGTATGAACCACGTAATTTAATAATCTTTAACTTAGGAAGGGGGAAATATTATAGAAAATGTGACTTATTGTGGTTAAAAAAAATTCCCTGGAGTCACCAGTCATCCAAAACAGAAGACCCAAACCATGCATGTAAGGCTTCAGGTGATTACAAGATCCAGAGCTCTGGTATTTTTAACCTCAATGTATTATACTGCTTAGCTTTTGCCAAACACAGGCACTGTTCTTCAAAATAACTTCGTTCACAGTGCTTCAGAATTGCAGGATAATCACACAACTCTCACAGTGTATCCAATTTCAGTAAACATTCTTGAGAACAGCTAGGAAGTAATCAGGAAGAATCAGTTTCTCCTAAAGGAGCAATATTTTTCCTTAATGGAAATAAGGGAACGATACATTAACTGGCCACATCTGTCCATCTACATATACATACATGGGCTTGGAGGACAGAGCACACTTCCAGCCACACTGCAAATACATACTAACAAAACAAGCGTGGAAAGTGAAATACAAATCTAAAGTTACTTTATGGATCTTAGAAAGGAAATTAAGACGTCAAAAATGAAATCTTTTATTTATACCTTCTCCACTGCTTTTTCGTTAATTAGTGGCCCTTGGTTAGTTTTTGCATCAAATCCACTTCCGACATGTAGTTCCCTCTCTATAGCTTCAGCAAACTTTTCCACAAATTTGTCATGGATTCCCTTTTGCACCAGGAAACGGTTTGTGCAAACACAGGTCTGAAAACAAACACAAAAAGGAAAAACAAACAGTAGTTTATATTATATTTACCAATTCTGGCCTTCATGCCACAGTATCAGGTTGCTACAGTGATCTGTCCTCTGCCTCTTCTCCATCATCCTAAGGTGTTACCTAGTTTTGCCACATCTTTCATCACCCCAGTCACTTTAGAAATACAACTTCAACAAGTACGTGTGTGACATACGCCACTCTGCTAAATTTAAGTTGCTTATGCTGGGAAAAGGTTTTGTGACTTCTGTGGACTCCGATACGTGGATCAACCGAAGTCCAGAAGCTGCAAGAACTACTTTCTAATTACAGGCTACAGAATGCTGGACTGAGCAGCAGAACTTCAAATCACACTTGGTGGTGTAGGGTCTTTTTTCCCAGCTCCTTCATTAATTGAGTTTGAATTTGCTTTCTTCCTGGAATTTGTTTCTAATTGTTTTCAGTGGCCTACTCATTTGTGCTACCCCTTTGACTGCATCCTATTTTGATTGCTACAGTCTCTGAAAAGTAGCAGCTACTTTATCCTTCTATGGGGGTGCCTTTTACGTTAGATCTTGTCCAACCTGTGTCTGATCAATCAGTGGTCCTTGTCTACATTCCAGTCTATTTTCTTCTTTTCTTCCCAAGACTAGTCTTATGTTTTCTTCTCATGTTACTCCAACAACGTTTTCCCAACCAAATGACCTCCCAATCCCACCAAAAACTTGCTGCTTCTCCAAAGCTGCAGTTCGTCAACTTCATGTTCCCATGCAGAGGTCATACTCATAAGGCTGGAAAAGTCTCCACACAGCCTTGCTCAGCTGACTGATCTGGAAAGTGATTTTTTGACTCTAAATATAATACATTTGAAGCAATGTATGCTTGAAGCCTATCAACTTTTTTTAAGCTACTCGTTGTGGAAAAATCTAGCCACGTGTGTCTTAATGGATTTCAATCCCCTGAACTCCTGCTGGGTGCTTTCAGAACACAGAAAAAACTTGAACACACAATCTTACAGATAGAAACATTTATCACAAGACTTGAAACCATTATTTTCAGAAATGGCTAGGCACACGTTATAAAGTAAAATCCTGAGAACTAAGGCAGGATGGTGTCTTTCCACAGCTTTAGTTCTGCAATGAATTTAATGCTAACAAAGCATAGGACAAAATGGCTTATCACTTCTCACGCTCCTGCCAGGGGTCCTAGTGAACATCTTCCTCCTCATTGATATTACTGACTGCCACGTATGATGTGAAAGTACATGGGATTTTACAGTGTTGTTATTCAGACTTGCCCAGAGATATGTGCGACTCCAGCATTTCTCTTCACAATGAAGTGTTCTATGCTTTCCTTTTAAAATAGCTTATTTACAGCTTAAACTGTATGTACAGCTCTTCACTTTCCAGAAACAAGGACAAAAAGGTTACTTTTACCTGCCCTGAGTTTCTATACTTAGAAGCAAGGGCTCCGGCAACAGCACGGTCCACATTGGCGCTGTTAAACACTATAAAAGGCGCATGTCCTCCCAGCTCCATGGAAACTCGCTTCACAGTGCCAGCTGCGTGTTTCAGCAATATCTGTAGGCAACAGAGGAGACACAGAAATCTGTACCCCTACCAGACGTGAGCTATGGAACCACAGATGGAAGGCAGTGAAAAACTAACTCTGGCAGGGAATTAATCTGCATCTTCTCTATTATGCTAGACCATCTGTTTTCTCCTATGACAAAAACAAGGACCAATTTCTTTTAAAATCTTTAGAGATGAAATTCTGGCTAAGGAATAATGGACTTTCATCAACTTCCGTTCAGGTCAGGCTTCTGTACACTAACACTGTCACTCTTGTTTGCTTGTTCTTTTCTTTTTTGCTAATAAAAATCTTGACTACTCTTACAAAATTTATCCAAGATCTGACAGAATTTGGGATTAAGATTTCCCTTGGTATCGGACTTTGTTCACTCTGCATATGACCATCCCGTACAATTCTACCATCGTCCAGCCACACTCTGCAGTTTAACTGATTGCATTAGAGATGGTGTCGAGTAAGATGATTGCTTATTGACTAAGGCTGACAGGAGAGATGCAAGGGCCTCACTTCTCCAACACTTTCTCTCAGCTGCAGAAGCCGTTCCTGAATGGTACCTCTGAAACTCAATTTCAGTGTTATTAGTATGTTGTCATCCTATGATACGAAGCAAGAGCATCTTTGCACAGAGCTGTTCACATTACAATTTAATAAAGGGCAATTATCACAGGCATCCTTCTGTGAAGTACTGCTACTAAAGTAAACAGGCAGTGTCTCAAGAAGCACACAATTCTTTGGACAATCTGTGTACAGCAGCCAGAAAAGAAGGCGGCTCTGTATAAAGGCACACACTTTCCCCCTACCTTTCCAGTACAACCACAGTAATAACCTTCAGGGGGATTCTGTGCACTTACGCACCTTTCCTGTTGCTGTGGAGCCAGTAAAAGAGATTTTGGCTACCAACGGATCAGTGCACAGAACTTCCCCTACAGCTGGTGTCTGCTCCCTGGAACAAGGAACAACATTGTACACTCCTGCTGGAATTCCAGCCTGGTTTGCAAGCTGCAACAAAAGAAAGACAGAATTGGCATTATCAGTACATTTTGTAGGAGAAATAGTCACTTAATGTTTGTTTATTGTTTTGAAGAAACCAGTCTGTACGTCAATGGAAGCCAAAAGCGCACAGCACAACTAGTGACAGATGCTACGGTGCCAAGAGAGCAGCTTCGCTCCGTTTTAAGCTGGCTGTCATTCAAAGTAACGCAAGGAAAGATAAAAAGGTGTTTCATGTAGCTAAATGGCCACGTCCTCTTTGAGGCTCTAGAGCAGATTAGAGGCAACTGTCACAGATTCTTACTAAATGAAAACCTCTGGATCAAGTCAGCCAGTCTGTCCGTTCTTCATGCATGATGCTGGCCAGCATTGCATTCAAAGCCCACCTGACTCCCCATTTGCAGCTTCAGTCCATGGCTAATGTAAAGCTTGGCATAAAAGCTCACCTCCCCAAGAGCTAATGCTGATAAAGGGGTGTCCTCTGCAGGTTTCACTACCACCGTACAGCCAGCTGCCAGAGCTGCACCAACCTTCCGGGTAATCATAGCACTGGGGAAGTTCCACTACGACAAGAGAAAAAAGCACAATCAAACTTGTGAAAGTTTTGCCTCCTGTTTCTGCGGAAATAGCTGACATTTTCTGTAATTATGTGGTAACCTGAACAGACCTGCGCGATGTGCTTTGTCCAAAGTGAACATTACCAAGAAGCACTGCCAATCCAGGAAGAAGCGACTACAAGGTGGAAATGAAACTTTACAGGGGCATTTACCAGGGCTGCAGGAGCTGTGAAGCCACAGCCCCACGCTGTGGGCTGAGACGAAAACCTTCACAGAATCTGAAAAATTCAGCTCTGCTTACTGGGGTTATAATGGCTCTGTCTTTCGCAGACGCTGGAATGACATCACCATAAACCCGGCGGGCTTCTTCCGCAAACCACTCCAGAAACGACGCAGAATACAGGATTTCACCCTGGGCTTCTTTCAGAGGCTTCCCCTTTGATGAAATCAGATAGGAGATACACTGTAAGCAGCAGACGGAAGCAATAAACACAAATTCAAGTAAATTCGGGAGTTTCTGTCCTTTTCAGAGTACTTTACAATCCCCTGTCACATGCACTGTGATCTCCGAAAAGACATTACATGGTCGCAGCAGCAACAGTTGTGCAGCTTCAATATACGGTCATCGACGTAGTCAACATTTTGTGTGTTGTGCCTGGATCCACACCTGCCCAAGGCAAGGAGCTGGAGTAGCAAACGTAGCACGTGTTTATTTACAAACTCTGCAGTTAGTTGCTATTGCCACTCTGAAGAAGACGCAGATTATGGCAAAACAGTTACAAGTTTGTGCCAGGGACACCCGTTTTGGGGAGAATTACTTCTGACTGCTTCCAGGCCTGATCCCACGCACTGAATGACCGTTGGCAGCTGGGACGCCTCAGAGCAGCTGCTGGAGTATCTCCCAGCATGGGTTTTGGTTTTACCCAGCAGGACACCGGTCTGTGAGCTACCCCGCTGCTCTGCGATGCAAACCAAAGCCCATGGAGCAAATCCCACAGGGAGGCTCGCTTTAACAGCACTGCAGTTTTCCCCCGAGTCAATGACACTGACAAAGCACAGACGCTTCTGCCATGAAGATGGTGTTTAGGCTGATGTTTGCTTTTGCACACCCCGAAGCAGAGCGTGGGCCTCGTTTCCGCCGGGTTGTTAGGTGCTACCGTCATCAAAATAAGGCATTGCACCATGCACCAGTACAGGCTCGAGGAAGACCTGATGGAGAGCAGCTCTGCGGAGAGGGACCTGGGTGTGCTGGTGGACGACAGGTTGACCATGAGCCAGCAGTGTGCCCTGGCTGCCAAGAAGGCCAATGGTTTCCTGGGGTGCATTAAGAGGAGTGTGGCCAGTAGGTCGAGGGAGGTTCTCCTCCCCCTCTACTGTGCCCTGGTGAGGCCCCATCTGGAGTACTCTGTCCAGTTCTGGGCTCCCCGCTTCAAGAAAGATGAGGAGCTACTGCAGAGTGTCCAGCAGAGGGCTACGAGGATGATGAGGGGACTGAAGCATCTCTCCTACGAGGAGAGGCTGAGGGAGCTGGGCTTGTTTAGCCTGAAGAAGAGAAGGCTGAGAGGGGATGTTATAAATGCCTATAAATACCTTAAGGGTGGGTGTCAGGAGGATGCGGCCAAACTCTTTTCAGTCGTACCCAGCGACAGGACAAGGGGCAACGGGCACAAAGTGAAGCAGAGGAAGTTCTGTCTGAACACGAGGAAGAACTTCTTCCCTCTGAGGGTGACGGAGC